TTTTTCAGCACATCATAAGTAATAGTATTAATAATGATTATGGATTTCCCACTGATTTGAATTTTTGATAGATTTTCATAAGTGTACGCTCATGTTTTATGCTGGTTGTGATCATTGATTACTTTTAATGAGAAATGTATGACATTAATAATAATAATAGTAATATAATAATAATAATTCTAAAATCAGCATCGATGACAGCAATTGCAAGAATGACAGCGATAATGAGTCTGAATTTGTTTTAAATAAGCTATTGAATTGCAATAAATTAAAAGTGAGAGATAAGTGAAAAATTAGATCATTTGTTATATTTAAATGATTGAATGAGTGATTTGTTAAGTAAAGTCTGATTGAGAAAGGATAGTTGGCTATTTCCTTCGAAGGACTTAAAGATTGTTTACAGAATCTTATCATCGCTGCTAGTCTTCAGATTACTAAGTGATTCTCTTTTCCATTACTTTGCTTCAATTCAGCCTATCGCACACTTAACTTTCTATTATTTTCTTCCGTGACAAAATTTGCTTTCTGCTGTCAAACTCTTTCATTTGACTTAAAAACGTTCTCTCTGTACGATTTATGTCGCTTTTTTTGCCTTTGACTAGGTTAAAGCGTTCAGTTCAGTTCATACTCTGTTGGATAATTGAATTTAGAATGAATTGAAATTTAAGCTTTGACTTTTAATTTCTATATAAGCAATGATTTTGGTTCATGTGATAACTGTCATTACAGTTTATTGCAGTTTTAAATCATTAAAAATCAGATCAGCAATTTAACGGCTTGCTGCATGCAGTGGTCAAGCTTCTTGCTTTTTATTCAAATTGAATTTTTCACTTATTTCAAAAAAACTTGTTATTTCTTTGCTATAATGCATTTACGTAAATTTTTGCTTCATATCAGCAGGGAAAACCGTATTCACAATATTGATAAATTTTAACAGCATTACTTTCACATCAACTTTTTGCATGTAGAAGTTCGTTACAGATTAACACTCACAATAACCTTTCTTAATTCTCTACCGAAATTTGGTAGAATACAGAATCCATTCTTGCCTCAACAATTCTACTCTTATATATATCATTAACCTATACTAAAATTAAGTAATTAAAATGAACAATTTCGGCTTAAATTACCTTTACTATCTATCGTCTTTTTTGCTTGCTTGCAATTTTTTCAAATTACTTTTCACTCTGTAAACCCATCACAAGCATCAGTGCTCGACGAGCGACAACTTCATCTTCCGATTTGCATAAAATTTTCATGAATTGCAGCTGCTTCGAAATTGTACTGCTAAAGGCTTTTCATTTTATTTGCATCGCATATGACAAACAATTAAGGCTTATTTTTGCGAGCATTTTGTATGCGTCGTCCGATGTTTGCTTATCGCATCAAAAATGAAATTTCGTTGCATAAATTTATTTAGCATTGGTTTTGTTTGAATCCTAATAGTGGCATGTCTTTCTTGTTTTAGTCCAATTAACTAACCATTCACAATTGTCTTCTGTTCCAGCCCGATCTCTCATTTATTTATTTACAACTTCAAAAACTTTTCAGCAGTTATTATTCATCATTTTTGTTTCAAATTTCTAAATTTAAGTCCATTCGTGCTGATATTTCTCAAGTATATTTACAAACAGCTAAAAAAATTATCATAATAATGATGTGCTTCACATTTATATCATTGATATTGATCATGATAACAGTAACAGTAAAAATTTTGAACGAGCAAATAGGTGATTATTAATAATAATAACGATAATAATAATAATTGTTTGTGTTAACAGATAAGATGATAAAAATTAAAATGATTATTGAGGAAAAATGATAAAAAGTAGATATGAAAATTCATTTCATTGGTTTCAGCAGCAGTTTCTTGTCCAAGCTATTGTCTCTAGTGGCCCATAATTACATAGCTAAATTTGATATCATTTGTTGACTGCGAGCAAATAAGCTAGCAAGCCTGGCTCTTGGCCCCTTTTTGTGGATGAATTCATTTTTCTTTCAGCAAAAACACAAAATTGAGGAAAATACAAAAAGTCGTGAGTATGGCATTAAGTTCAGTCTCAAACTATTAGCTAGTATGCTCTTACTTTTTTCACTACGTTTGTTCTTACTTTTTTCCTTAGTTTCGAGCACCATTTTCATTTTTATAGATGACTTCGTTCGTCATGTTTGTTTCTATAATCAGTAAGCTTTAATTTGCGTTCTTTACCAAGATTCATCACTTAATCTTGTTGTTGGATCTGAATTATCAAGAATTTTTGCTGTACTTACTGCGGAATCTAAGTCAGAATGATTTGAAAACGATCAAATTTCTGAACATACATTGTGAAAATTCCGAATTAGAACTTTTTATTGTTATTCACACTATATATAACTCTTAGCTCTTAGCTCGCTGACTTTGTTTACAGATTTCATTTCAACTTTTGACAGCACTCTTTGACCCCATTCAAGGATCTTTCGTGAAGTCCATTTCAAAATTGTTTACTTAAATTCTTTCTTGTAAATTTCCTTTTCTTGTTTCGTTGCTGAAAGGTGATATTAAATGCGATGCGAAACTATGTTCAAACTTTATTTCTACAACATTACAAAAATAGAAAATCTTTATACAAGTGTTCCTTATCAAATTTCACATATTTTATGGCAAGATTAGAACCAAAGGAGGATATTCAATTGTGTATTTGCGAAGTAACTGAATTGTTATTAACTGAAATGATATTTTGCTTTAAGAATATTGTGGCATATAAAAATAAATGGAAATATGAAAGAGTCAGTATTCTAATTAACTTATGATAAAAGATCTCGTGATGTCTTGATGACTGATAACTGTGAATCGAGCTCTCTTCACAGTATAATCCAGGAAGCTTAGTAACTATTTCAATTAAATAAGCTTTCAAATAAATAAAACGAACCTAATGATCAGCAAGATGTGAAAGCCTATGTCTTGCTTAGAAAGCACTTCTATGCTGTATATTTCTTCCACTGCAAAGCTGATGTTATGACAACTGTTGAAAGTGTGTTTTTTAAAATTTGCATAATAAGCACAATCGCAATTAAGTATTATCATTCAAAAACTTTAGAACATTAATTACAATTAAAGAAAGTAACCTCAATTGTTTCAGATATCAATAATTTGTATGAGTGAGAGCTATTTTGTCATGACAGTGAATTACTTATTGTTGTGACAAAAGATAATATTTTAAGTTTAACTTATTTGAAGTCCGCATACGACTAACGCAAATAAATGAAAATAATTGATATTTATTACATGACTGGCATTCACATTTGTTAATTATTTTTGTGCATGTGTTTATTCATATTTGATATAACCTTAATAAATTTAAATCTTCCGTAAAATACAAAACTATTTTTTCAATATTTTTAAACTCATATTGAACATTAGTAATGCTAAAATTTGAAAATTAATAGTGAAAAAATAGAATAGAATTTTACATTCAAAGCATTTAAAAAATGCAGTTCATCATTAATTTACAATATAAGAAAAATTTTAAGCAGAAAAACAAAGTATGGAAAGCTTCCTCATATATTTTTTTTCGATTACTTATTAATAATTGATGATTCGAATTAATCATGCGCGCTTGCTGATTTGCTTGAACTTTGAAGAAATTATGTATTTTGTTCTTCATTTTTTTTAATTGACTCAAATGAAATCGATTAATCGGAAAAAAAGTGTATTTGATTAGAGTTAATTCAAGTATGATCTGTTTAAGTTTGAACGTATTACTAATTTTCTTATAATTTTAGTAGTAATCTTTGAAATTATTTCAAACATGGTTCATTCTGTATTGAGGAGCAAAATTTAGATGCTGTCTGAAGTTCAACTTTTGGTGTACAGTAATTTTACAGTATACTTTAGATCAAGTTTAAGTTCTCCGACTACTCTCTATTCTCATGTTTCATACTGATAAATTCTTTAAATAAAATATTTTGTCTTGTTCCTTTCGTAAGAACATATATATTTTCCCTTACTTGTTTGGCGCATAATTCTTTTTTTAAATCAAATTTTGATTTCTCCAAAAGTTTGCTGCGTTGCTCTTTAAAACTGAAATATCCACTGAGCAAGAACAAATCAGATGCATTAAAATAATCTTTGAAAAGTATTCTAATGAAATTGGGACTTAAACGCAACAATCATGGCTTTACCTGTGGAAAAAAAAATTTGTATCATTAACAATTGACCCTTTCGCACTCGTAATGCTTAATGTGCTGAATAATTTATTCAAAGATTCATTTCATTTTCAAAAAAAAGCGAAACGTCATTTGTGTAATAATTAGCACCAAATTTTATACCATTTTGTATTGGCAAATGAAGTTTTGGAGAAAATAGAATTTAAGAAAGTAAAACAAAGCAACATGATCTGGTTAAATTAAAGCTAGAGGCATTGAGATAAGTTTGATCAAACCAGATCATGACCTCGTTTGGCTGAACTTATCTAGAAGTCCAATGTTCACTTATTTTTCCTGATATATGTATTGAATTGGAAATGTTCGCTCAAGTATTTGCTTATTGAATCATGCACGCCTTTATGTAGTAAATTGCTTATGGTAAGAATTATACTCAGTTAAAGTCTAACATTTTTCAGCTTCATTTCTTCATCATTAATTCCTTTACTAAGCAAAATATAGAGTGGAACTTATCCCATGTATGTTGCTCAAAGTTGTTACCAGCGCCGAGTATTGAATTCCAGAGTGGATAACACTCTGACCTTGGGACATTTGTGATTCATTATCATTTTGCTATTTTTATCATCATCCTTTTTGAATTATGATCAATTCGAGATATTTTTTAGATAATCTGATAATATCATTTAATCATTAGAAGAAAATGTTTATCTTCAGAGTTTTTGAAATTAACAAATCATTCAAAAATGCGGAGGTATAATTATGATTTAAATTTTCAAGGATTTTAAAGCTAACAAAACAATTGTATTTTTTCGAAGACTTCATTTCCCATCAAAATGACATGAAATTTGGTGTTAATTATTACACAAGTGACGTTTCGCTTTGTTCTCGATAAAATTTATGTTGACATTTCAATAAATTTTGTAAAGCTAATGAACTTCATTTTTATTCCGCTGATGAGAAATGCTTACAGGCCTTATGCTGTAAGGCCTGTAAGCATTGCGACGACAAGAGCAACGATAGTGCACTCTAATAAGAATTGAGTTTATCATTTTTAATATAAATTCTTGTGTAAATTTCAATTTGATTAGCAAATATATGCTTTTGAAGGATTTTTGAATGTATTTTTATTCGCAGTAGTTATTTTAATAAAAATGCACTTTAATAGCATCAGTAAGTAGTCTTCAGAAGAGTACTTTAGCTCAAGTCGATTTAATTTTAATTTTTCAAAAATTACTCATCATAAATTTTTAAATATGCATTTAAGATCATAAGATATCTCACTGCGCAATCATTTTGTAGAGAAAATTGACTTTTGATATAATATGGATCCAAAAGCTAATCAACAGTGATTTTCAGCACTCTCCAATCCCAGATTCAAAAGTTACTGAAACCTGCAGCTTTCTGAATAAATCTTTCTGAAATAGTTTTGTCTTGTTCTTCTTGTATTAAAATCTATGAGATGATACACAGTACTCACTATGGAATTGGATAAACTTTTCGTTGTTATACAACTCCTTACTCTTCAAACTGTAAGCCATGCAATCAAGTAAGTAAGCAAATTTTTCACGAAAACAGTTAAATCATAACCATTTCTTCACAGCAAGAAAATATTTTTGTCCGATTCATGTTCGTGATGATGTTTATCAGAAAAAGACTGCACTATCGTTGGTCTGCAAAGGTATTTTACCTGCATACTTTTGAAATATTTTTTGGGATCAACTCAAGAAGTCTATTTTGTGAGTGACAAAGTTTTGAAACCTGAAGAAGATATTTGAACTTCAAAAATAATTTATAACTTGCATTTTTTAGATGTTTTACGTGCGCTTCTGCTGATTATAAGGTTTTGTTCGAGCGTTTTTCGAATATAAGGCACTCTCTCCATATTCCACGTTTTGGTGAATTGTGTGATAACTTTGAACGACTACATGCATTTGCACCTGCACTGAATTGTGAATCCACATGCATTTCCATTTTGGAACCACAATATTTTGGAGGTATACAGAATATATACATGAAATTATATGTTTGTATATCGTAGACAATCCAATCGTTGGAAACGTATAAAATTTCATGTATATTTCTGTTTTGATACGTTTGCAGCGGTTGCATTGTCTACGAGCTCGTAGCTAAACCCAAGATAAGATACAATACTTGCTAAGTACTTGTTATGAGTCTTCTCTTGCTTTAGAATCGTCGCTCTCCAGGTAAATATGGCCGCGATTTCTACTAGTACATTATACATATACAAAAAAACTTTTGAATATTAAACATGGTATTTAGAGACAAGGAAAAAAAGGCTCTAACTGTAATACCAGTTATTTTTTTGTCTACTTTCAAGCCTGTAATTGTTATGCAGATAAAACATTCTTTCAATAAATATGAAAAAAAGTTAAAAATTTGCTCATCCACCACTGAATTTTGTCTTGCAAGCTTTAATCTAAATTTTTTGCAGAAAATGCTTGAACATTGTTCAAAGAATTGACAAAAATTCATAATTTAGCATTTTTATTCTGGGGCCATTTTAGGTGTTCAATCTACAAATAGACCTTACAGTTATATTCGTGGATGTGCTGGCAAAATTTTCAGTTCAGTACAGAATCGTTCACCTGAAGTGGACTTTCTTCATACTGAAGCTATTTGCTTAGAACTTCCACTATCTCTAATTTGGCCATCAATTGAAACTGATGAGCACGTACAGGCAAGTTTAAAACATTGCAGCTGAATCGTTGATTATTTATTTTTTAAATCAAGTTATTTATTTTAGCACTTATAAATTTCAATTGTTGGTTCAATAAGGTAAAAAGTGGTGTTAGTACGCCAACTCTGAATTTCGTAGTTCATCAGTTAATCGATCAGATCTGCAAATCGCCATACTCTGATTCAGAGTTTATTTTTGCTCTCTCTTTTATTCAGTTGTGACGACATTTATACAAACTTAATCTCTTCCTAAATTCCACTTCTTATCTTAGCTTTTTTGCGTTCTGAAAGAAAAAATTAGATAATTGCGATATATTTTTAGCGGTTGAAAGAAGAAATAAGGATTATACAGTGTTACTGAGAAAAGTAATAATAATGCATTATTATCACAGCCAGTTACTTTTTACTCGCTAAATCGAATTTAATTTAAACACAATTGAAGTTACTGGTAATAATGAACGAAGACTTTGACGAGGTGGAAAAATTATAAAAATTAATAAATTATTTAAAACTGATATTGAATCAAATATAGAATATAGCAGAAGAATAAACTACTGCTATATTCTATATTTGATTAAAATATTTTTTGACCTTTAGGACATTACAATAAACAATTTTTGAACAAATGTCAGAGCAATTTCTATTTTTAGATGTGTTCTTGTAAAACGGATCGTTGTAATACAAATACAGCCACAATGAAAAATAGTAATTCGGTGGCTTTATTCATCAAACCAGCTTATCCTGTGTTTGTTACTATACTGATTCTGTTCTTGAATTAATTTATTCTTATTAAATAAAATCAATTAAGGGCATTACATTTTGGTTTAAAGATTGCATATTTTATTCTAAGTTCAAAAAATATTTTAGTTATTAATTTTCTGAACTAACTGAAATGATGAGTAATGATCTCTTCATTTCTTAATTTTATTTCAGACAATATTTTGATTTCGTACCTTTTATTTGAAATAAAACAACTAACTCACTTACCTTCTAATGTCAAATTATGAATTTTTATGCACTTTATATCAAGGAATTCATAATTGAACAACTGTTTGAAGCTGAGTTTTTGTTATAAATAAATGTGAAGAACAAGTTTTTAAGAGACTTGCAACGCCATTCTGCAAATCAGCAACAGTTATTCATTCACTTTATCATTTTGCATTTCTCTAGTTTTCAGATGTTGATTTTGCTTGCAGCTGGGTTGTTTTTTTCTTAAACTGCGCCTTATTTAAAATGAATTTGTTTGTCTAATATTCCATTAACACTATGCAACCACAGTGAAGAACTGCTTGCAACAATCTTGTCATAAATACTACTATTACAACCATAATTCAGTCATAAAATCGAGTGTGCTTGTGTCCATTTATTTACCATGTCAAGTATATTTCCAGTGAGTATCACTCACATTTGAGATCATTTCAGTCTTTTCTTAAAAACTTATTATTTCTTCCTGTTTCTTCCTTAAGTATTAGTCCTTGTGAAAAAAACAAATTGTCAATGAGAAAAAAATTTTCTTTTATTTTTTATGTTATAAGCGAGGAATTGCATGAGACGCGAAACTTTTGCATAAAGAAGCAGTATAATAATTTGCAAAAGCTCTGCATTCCAACGACTATATCATTATAATTGCCAAGCAAGGAAGAGGATAAATAGGATAACAGATGGCGAAGTGGTTCGTTACTGTATACATCAAATCAAATAAGATCAGATTTGCTACCACAGCACTGAATTTACGATAAATATAGTGTGTACTGAGCTGTGTGTGAATGCAGTGTTGACGTAAGTGTATGAGTATTTACTTAGCAATTCGGCAGAAAGATATTAGGTTGAGATAGTCTTACAACAAATTTGCTCTTGAAAATGTTCTTTCGTGTTATCGACTTAATCAATTGTAATAAAAAAGTTGAGTACGCGAAAGTTCGTCACTATCCTACCCCGAGTCATCATAACATTCGGATTTACTTTCATTCTGCATCTCATCTCTCGCCCGAGTTTATTTGCCAGTAAATTGTACTTTCGCTTTTTCTCGGTTTCGACTGCTACAATCTGTTTTGACCAGTGATGCCAACCTCCATCAAGAGTATTTTGTGTCGCTTCTTGTCGTGCACCAGGATGCCTGGTTGATCCGTCCACATTGCAGCACTTACTCGCGTATCGACTTAACGTTCTCATTAGTGGCGATTTCCTGAACAGAATGTTTCCTCCACATGCTTGAGAATGCTATAAGACCAAATATTTGCTGGGTCCTAAATGAATATATCGCAGGATCTCATTATGTCTTTTTTAGTATAGTTGTGATATAACATTTTTTCGCACTGCGTTGCTACTAACTGAGTCGAACATATTTTAACGTCACTCCACGTGGTAGGTAACCAATTGCAATGCTCAACATATTATATATATATATGATATTACATAATGAACTAACAAGAAGCAAGCTTTTCAGCATTTTAAATGCGATTAATTTTGTCAAAAAGAGCAAAATAAAATATAGTGGGAAATACATCACTGAAAAATGTTCATTAACGCACGACTGCTGTACTGAATTCACAAACTTAATATGAAAAAAAAACTTGAATGAAACTAATAACAAAGTTAATGGAAACAAATATTAGCTTTGACATCCAAAATGATTTGAGATATTACGCTTTACATAAAATGAAGTTGAGAGCGTAAATAACTTAAAAAGTAAAATAATGATAATAACAATAGTGATGATAATGACCGACAGTAGTAGCAATGTAATATTATTATCATGTTATTGTTTCAAATCAATATTATTTATCAAAGATGAAGTCCAAAAATGAGACATTAAATAAAAATAATAATATTAATAGTAACAACAATCACAGTAATAACAATAATGATAATAAATATAAGAATATTAATAATACTACTACTAATTATATTGATAATCCAGATAATAATGAAAAGCAGAAAATGGGGAAATTAGTCGTGATCAATAATGACAACAAGATTATGAAGAATGATTTTTGTTCTTAACCTTCTAATGTTTTTTATTATTTGTACTGAAAATTAACTTTTCATTAACTGACGAATTTACTGTAGTTCTTGATATCAATTCTAATGAATTAATTAATGTGACAAATTTGAAGCGCAGTTGGAAGTCAATTTGGTGATGTACGAATACTTTTCCACCACCAAGTCAGTTTCTTCATATATATCAATACTAGACAAATGCAACCACACACACATACTCAATTACGCACATCTGAGGGACTACACACACATGCGAGGGACTACACACACATTCATGGGAAAAATATAGTTCTAAATTCAGAAATTCATGATATAATTAAGTTGATTCGACCCAAAATAACTAAGTTAGACTGTCTGTCGGAAGCAACGTTTTTTAGATGACCTTTTCCAGGTTTGTGTTATGGTCTTACCTTTTTGGTTCCTAATTACAGGATTATCTACTAATTTTACCATTGTTATCTTAACACGCAGTATTAGTTAAGAGATGCAGATATGGTTAGTGGTTAGTCGAGACCCTTAATCTATAGTTTTTACATCTTTGTAAGTAACTATCAAACTTGGCTTTTGAGTTCAATTGTTTACGGAATAGAAAAATTGACTAAATGTAATCTATGCTTCGTCATTTTAAAAAATTGGACTTATTCGTTCCGCCTTAAGAACGAACACAATCTTGACCTTATTTTAGTCCATATTCAACTTCCAAAGTTTAACGCAAACGTTTCTAAGCACAAAGTCATTGAACAAAGGATTGATGACAATATACGGACAGTTTTTTTTCTTGATAATTAAGTTTCTCACAAGTTCTGTGATTTTTTCAGCCATTCATACGATCTGAATACTCTTACGCAAGTGATAATAGTGCGCTAAAACTTGTTATCATTGATTTCAAAAATGATTGTTTTTCCGCGCAATTGTTAGTTTCTTCCAGTAATCATACTAACTCAGAGAAACTTAAATTATGTGTATATATTATCAGTGTGAATTAAATCAAAAAATATTTTTTTCCAATATAACTGTTGAATTACGTCTACGAATGAATCTTAAACTAACAAATAGCTAACCTTCAAGCTCTTGTTCAGTCACTGTTTTCACTTGTTTCCTCAAAGAAGCATTCAGTCGTCGTAATTTCTGATCACTGGAACGATATGCAAAAGCAATTAAATGAAGCAGTTATTCCTTGCAAACTCTTTTTCCTTGCTGCGATACAATATTGCTTACTGTAATGACTATGCACTGCACTAAATTTCAAGTTCCCAAAAATTCACAGCATCTTAGTTGAAGTCTCAGACTTCTTCAGTCAATTTTTTCCTAGCTACTGATCAGTCATTCTAATTAATAACTGAAAGCTTTTTACCCCAAAAACTATGATTAAAAAAACAGAAAAGGAGTCCGTTACTGTATGTATCAGATCAAATAAGGTCAGATTTGCTACCACAGCACTGAATTTACGATAAATATAGTGTGTACTGAGCTGTGTGTGAATGCAATGTTGACGTAAGTGTATGTGTATTTGCTTAGCAATTCGGCAGAAAGATATTAGGTTGAGATAGTCTCACAACAAATTTGATCTTGAAAATGTTCTTTCGTGTTATCGACTTAATCAATTGTAATAGAAAAGTTGAGTACATATATGCACGAATGACTGCAGCAATATTTACACTGTATTTGAGATTTAAACATTGCAGAGAGTATGTAGATGAAAGTCGCTGTGTAGGACTGTGGTAACTTTATTGGATGAAAAAGTAAAATTTCCGCCAACAAGTAAATAAGTAACGTTCATAAATATGTAATTAACTATTGATCATTCGTAATTTATACAGATGAAAAGACTGTAAATTAATAAAAGCTAATTAAAATTAATGCACCGAAGAAAGAAGTTAAGAAATAAAATAGACTGCAAAAAAATTGTTTATCAGCACCAAATCGCATATAAAATCCTGTCATTTTGCTGAAAAGCATTTGATTCCAACAAAGCACTGCCAAAGAACCTAAACTAAAACTTAGTTACTAACATTTTCGTATTGTGTGTGTGCGTTTATCTGATAGTCTGTGCATAATTTTTAATGAGTGTAAAAATGAACAGAGACAGCAATTGCCGAATTTTAATATACTGCTTGGAACAACTAAAGACTTTGAAATTTACTACGTGTGTCTGGCTGTTTTCACAAAAGATGACAGTTTTTTATTTCTTACTTGCAAAATGATTCATCTCATTTCAGAGCTTCAGAGGATAAATTTTTTGAAAACATTCAATTAGTTCAGGTATTTTCGTACTTTTTTCTATGAAAAACAAAGATTATCACTAATTTAATTCTTCTTTTGTCTGGTAATAATAACTGCTGTTGTTGGGGCAATGATAAATGGCTTTCTGCTGTTGCTTATTGGGTTTACTGTTCGTCCTCTAAAACATATATTTTTGATGCCGAGGCGTTTTTACCAGTCACTACTGAAGAACGATGCTTAGCACGGATCAGATGTAACGAGCTTTCTGCTTGATCTGCACGACCTTCCGCATCTTCCAGTTCACGCTGGTATCTTCGTACGCGTTGAAGATTTGCCATTGTTAGAGACTCCTGTAATTAATTAGATTTGGTAGTTTTAGTGTAGGCATTGCCGCAAAAATTGTTCGTAATCTAAAAATTTTTGAATTAGAATATTAAAATTTATAATTTTAATTTATGTAAAAAGAAATTGACTTGAATCTATGTCAAATCCTTTATATCATAATATTTTTTGGTCAAAATATTATTAAAAAACGTTTCAAAAATTTCAATCAAAATATTGATTATAACAATTATAAAATGGAAGTTTTCTCGCAAAATTTTATCAAAATTATTTAAATCTTCGGAAAAAATACTGCAGACGGTCACATGAAACTGTCACGAAATCAAATAATCATCTTTGCAACCTGAATTCAGATTAAATAAGACATGAAATATCTGTGAAAGATTACAGCTTCTCCAAGTTGTCTCTTCTGAATGTTAAGTTTTTCCATAAGTCTATCAGCAGTGTCTTGCGCCATTACAAACATCTTATGCTCCTCGTCAACTTGCATCTGAATCTCCTTGATGCGTCGATCCTTCTTCCTCAGAGCACCTTGCGTTTCTTTATGTCTGCGTGTTTCCTCATCTAATGCTGTTTCCAAGTCACGTATACGTGTCTCAAGTTTAGCAATTACACGTTTGCCACCTAATAAAGCTGCTGCTTCTGCTTCTTGAATTTGTACTTGCAACTGTTTTACCTAAAATTTTTAAAGAAATGCATTGCAAGTCATCCTTAAACAATGAAAATTCACGAACCTCACAGTGATAAGTTTGTTGAAATTCAACACAAATTGAGAATTTTATGAAACGAAAAATATAATTCTAGGCTTTTGATCAGTTAATGAAAATTTAAATCAAAATTTTGTTAAAACACTCAAATACTTGTGTTGTTTTGTTTTTAGAGAGAGAACTGAATGAATGCTTTTCGAACTTGTAAGTGATCATTTCAACTTGAAAACCTGCTCTTCTAAAGATTTCCTAAGAGCATCGATTTTCATGGAATGTTCTTGTTCTTCATGGAGTTGGTCTACAGCTCGAGCTGCATCAGCCAAAGCTCGGTTAGCTCGTTCATCCGCGGCGTGTAATTCTTTTGTGACCTCATCCAAATCTGCCTGGGCTGTTGACAGTTCTGTTTCGAGTTTATTCTTTATTGCTGTCAAATTGTTATTCACTGATACTAAGTCAGCAATGCGAACCTAAAATCTATTCAAATTATTTTGCAGAAGCAATTTTAGACACGCCATATTAACAAAAGCTTAATATCTATAGACATTTTACTGAATTCAACTATAAATTTATTTTTATGATTCATGAAATACAGGAAAATGCTACAATTTTTATTGGAAGTATTAACAATTATGAAAAAAAAGCAAAGTTTTTTATGATATTTTAAAGATTTCTGATTAAGTGTGAAAAATTTTTAGAGAACGAACATTAGCATCTTCAAGTTCGACTTCAGCTTGTTTTCTTGCACGAATGGCATTATCCAACGCAACTTTGCATTCTTCCAATTCGGCACTCAGTGCAGAGACTTTGCGCTGAGCCAAAGCATACTGAAATTTGTAAATTGAAGCAACATTTTTACTACATTTAAAAAATTTGAAAATTTGAATAGATTAAAATTCTGCGTAGATTGCAAGCGACCTTTCTTTGCAATTCATGACTTGATTAGTTTCTCACAAGATAAATTGCATTTTCACTTTATTGACTATTAGATATTGATATGATTATATATATATATATCCAATATAATTACCGAAATTTTAATTCGGTACTGATCAGAAATTGATTTTCACCTGATCTAGTGTTTGCTGCAGTTGACGTTGGGTATCTTCAAGTGATGCTTGTAGCACTTTAAGCTGTTCACTTTGTTTTTTGATCGTTTTTTGTGCTTCAATATTAGCGCGATTGAGGTTATCAACAGTCATTTCGAGTTCAGCGATTTCTGCTTGATACTTCTTCTTCAAACGTGAAATTTCTGCCTGTAATAAATTCGCTTTAAATACAATGAGTTTTGGTTTTCCAATGATTTCAATTCAAAAAAAAAAACAGTTATTCTTGTCTACAACGCTTAATTAGGAAGCTTCACCTTCATACGAGCTTCAGCATCAGCCAACGCAGCAGTGAGGCGATCAATTTCAAATTGCATATTTTTGCGAAGTGCTTCCATTTCTTCTTCCTGAAATTAATATTGGAAAAAATTGCTACTACAATGACATCGTACTGAGTTTGCCAATTTGATGAGTAATTTTTCACTTTTGAATTTTTTCAAAAAAATTTGCAAACTTTTTCTTGTAATCGTCGTTCCATTTCAATGCGAAGTTGTTGCAATTCAGCAAGTGCACGTTGTGCGCGATTCTCTGCATCACGTCGCGCAGCTTCCGATTCTTTGAGAGCTGTTTGCAAATCACGTATTTCTCCGGCTAACCGTGCATTCTCCAAGTCAAGCTCATGGAGTTTACGGTTCGCATCAGCAAGAGCTTCTTTAGCCTCATGCAAATCATCTAGAACATTGAAAATTAATAAATCTACAGCAATGTTCAAAAATTTAGCACTAATCTGCTTCTGCCAATATTATGAAGATAAATACATTCCACTGCATGCAAATTTGACGAACTTATAAACTGCTAACCCTGCAGTTTCTTGTTCTCTCGAGCCAGAGCTTCTTTCTGTTCGACTGCTTTTTCGTACAAGTTCTTCATCTTCTGAAGTTCAGCCAGGGCCGCACGAGCTTCTCGTTGTGCAGCTTCAAGTTCAACTGTGAGCTCATCGATTCGTACCTGTTAAAATCCAAATTGAAAATAAATTTTATCTGAACACTGCAAAATGATCGATCTAAAATAACTATTCAAATTATTTGCTTTTTAACCTGCAACATATTCGGAATTTTTAGTTTATATTGGGACTTTTTGATATTGTAACTCACTTTCAACTCATTAACGGTTTTTTCGAGCTGCTCCTTGGCTCGTTCGAGAATAGCTATTGTATTTTGTGCTTTTTCTAAATCCACAATAAGTACTTCAACTTCACTTTGAAGACGTGATTTAGCTTTTTCGAGCTGCGATATTTTTTGCAACATAATTTCAATTTGTTCTTCATACTCGGCTTGCTTTTGCAACATTTTTTTGCGCAGATCTTCAACCTAACGAAAATTCCCAATTATGAATTGATCTACTTTTTAGGAATAATTTTAAAAACATTAAATTCCATTAAAAATTTTTGTTTCGGAAGTATAGCTTCCTTAATTTTCAGTAGTTCATTTGAAAACTTAAAATAATTTAATCATTTTTTTGCTTGAATACCTCTTCGTGATGAAGAGCGACCTCAGCGTCAAATTTGCTCTTCCACTGAGTAATTTCAGTATTTGCAAGAGCAAGCTTATGTTCGGCCTCTGACCTCGCAGCCGATTCTTCATCCAAAGCAGTGCGCACTGAATCCAATTCAAGTTGAACCTGATGGAGTTGCGCTTGAAGTTGCGATCGTTCCTAAAAAGCAATTTTCGCTAAATAATAACAGTTTTTATTCGCTAACATTTCGTCGAATCTCCATTAAATTTTCGTATCCGCCATACTTCTGCATTTTCCACAAGATATCATTTCATTTAAATAACTGTTGTATATTTGCAAAAAAGCCATGCAGCACATAGTAGAGAAAGATGACTGTTTTTTTTGTAATCTAAAGGTAGCATGAACATATTTCATGATTCCTGTGATTAGCACTCATATAAATCATCTGAATTCTGATTTTATTTTATTTTGTTCATAAAGTAAAAAGAAAACATGCTATCTTTTGCAAATTTATCAAATGCACGCTGTATAAAACCAGTGAAAGAGCGACGTAATGTAGATAAAAGAAAAGACAAACGTACACGCTCGGCATCTTCCAAACGTCTGCGTGCTTCTTCAAGTTGCTGCGCAAGTTGATATTTCACATGTTGCAAGTTGTCAAGTTGTATTTTTTGGTCATGAATCTAAAAAATGTGCTTGCATTTTATTAAGTAACAGAGGATAGTCAAGAAAAAGTTAATTTGCTTGTATATAACTTAAACTATTGTAAGCAATTTAACAAAATAAAAACTAGTATCTGCACAGGAACCAAATTTCAAATATCGAAAATTCAAGAAAATTTCCGGTTAATAATGCTTATCACTTACAATATTAATTATTATCATTGCTAGCGAACGAAATTTTAGTGATGAAAACTACTATTTTTTGATGGGAAACTAAAAATGCTAGAAGGCGACAAAATTATCAATCGGAAAGAAATAATTTTTGGGTTAAATTAAAACTAATTCAGAACAAACTGAAGACAATGTCATCATTATTGTTCTGCCAATTAATGCATGAAAATAAGACTGGAAGAATCCTCTTTCTTCTAGATCAACAGACAAAAATGTGCATCATTGTGAACAAATGAAAAATGAAAGTTGTAAGCAAATTTCGTTAATGTATAGGAAAACAATTTTAGCTAGCAATAATTAATACAAAGTTGATCTTAAACTATGCAGAATATTCAAATTTTCTGAAATTAATTTTTAAGAAAGATAACTGGTATTTACTTAGAATTCAAAATGTTTCAATGAATTTATTCATCTATTAATTGTTTTGTGTTGTTCTGACTTGCACTGAAAGGACTGATTTCAACTGATAGATAGAAAGCTTGTGGAATTATTTTTTCGATCATTTAATTAAAAATTGTTTGTAAATCCAAATTGACCTCTTTTATGAGATCATTATTTTCAACTTGTAAGCGTTGACGTTGTTGAGCCAATTCATTCACGTGTCGATTTAAATCTTCGACTTTGTTGCCCAATTCAATAGTTTGTGTTTCAAATCTTTCTGCTGCTTTCTCAGCCAAATGCTGCAAAATTCGACCTCTTGATTTTCTGATGAATTGGAATTAATTATATATCTTTATTTCAATATTTTTAGATACAAAAAAGAAATCTTTTTATCGCTTTTTTAAATATTTTTAAAGCACTTTTTAAGATTAATTTAGGACTGTTTGATCAAAGTCAATTTAAATCAGAGAGTAATGGGCTGAAAGATGATTACTTTATAGTAAGACAAATGATGTAAATGCAAAATTCAATCTAAATAACTTAAAAATGACAAAAATTAAAAGAATTTCATTGCAATTGTGGTCGCTGAAATGATATAAACGGAAGTAAAGTAATTATGGTATCAATATTTGTAAAATTGAAGGCATCATTTTATTGATTAAAAAAATGAATTTTCGAACGAGAAATGATTCGATAGCTATATCTGTTTGGCCATTTCCAGGTTCTAAATGATCAGATAATTTTTCACAGCCACACTGGCCAAAATTATCATACTCTTCCGATTTATTTGAATTTTATTTAATTTGTGAAATTTTTCAGCCTGAACTTTTAAAAACTTGCATTTTCATTCTTTCTAACGCAATTACTTTTACTTAAAATATAATATTCGGAAAAATAATTGAAAAAATGCTAATTAATTGAGAAACACTTTTAATATGCAAATTTTGAATTCCGATGAAGAGCTGTCAAACATCTTACGCAAAGTTATTCTGAATGCTTTTAATTGCTAAGGGATGCAAGGAAATAAAACCGAATGCATTGAAAAGAGAAAATTTAATCGTTTTTCGCTTCTAAAGGGTCATTTACATAGCAACTAATTTGATTTTTTTCATTTTTTTGATAAAAAAACTCGACCATCTTTTGAAATTTGTGTATTTAAGCTGAAATAAAAAACTTGTAATTTTTTGAATACTAAAAACAAAAGTAATTGGTCGATTTGAGAGGAAAGCTGTGTTGGATGGATAGATTAGATGCGACCATTGTAAGAAGCAATGCACTTTTTTTTGGAATTTTATCATATTTTTGTTTTTTGAAAATGAAGAAGAGAGCATTAATCATTTAGTATTACATTCGTGCTTTAAGAAGTATTAAAGAAGAATGAATAAAACGGAAGAAAGTAATTGCATCTGCCTTTAATTCACCTTATCCTTCTGAAGTTGGTCAATTGTGGCAGTAAGTTCGATAACTTCATGCTGGAGACGCTGGCGTTCGCGGTCGATTCTAAAATTCGTACTATCAATTATCATTTATGGTTAGATTTTTTCATAATCAGAAGTATTGTCCTTCTCAATTTAAACTAAATTTTTTAATTTTTGCTGTTTGTAAAAATTTCAGCAAGACACTTTAGAAAATTAAAATAGAGTGCTTCATTGTATGTAACTTTTTTTGCCTAAAAATTTTATTTTTTGTAATTTATGAAAAATTTTAACAAACTCCAATGCTTTCTTAAATGAAAACCATAATGATTCTTTGTATTTGAGATTCAGAGAAATTCGCTTTGCAGTGTTTGCTTCTTTTCGTAAAATTTAAAGATTTGGAAAACAATTAGATTTTGTTTTCGCCAAATTCAATTTAAAATATTTAATTCACTGAAATATCCTTTTTTGTAAAGCTTACTGAAAGGTAAAAAAGACTAGATTGCTTGATTAAGCAAGCATTCAACAAGTAAATAATTGAAAGTTTTGGGCTCATTTGACAAAGCAAAATCAATATTGTTAATTAATTATGAACATTTTTTTTATGGAAGAAAATTTTTTAATTTTGCTTCAGCATTACTACCATTTATGTCCACCATAAAAGTATGCTATTTTGATAGTCAGCAAGAACTTACTTCTTAATTACTCTTTGATTAATCTTTTATTTTTTCACAAATTATTTATTATCAGTCATAAATTTTTCATCTTTTCACTTGATTCTTATCAGGTACTAATGAAAGCATTCTTAGGACAGCACTAACAAAAATGATTGAAGTCCCGAAACGAATATTGCAAAAATCAACTGATTAAAGTGCTATCCAAATTTAAATTTTATCATAAAATCCTGCTTATGCTTCTCATGCTTTTTTTCCATTTTTCATGACGCTGACAGCCATTAATTACACATTAATATCCTTTGATAATTTGTGTAAGTATATAATTGCTACCACCAACGACACTGTTATCAAAATAATCCTGATGATAATGCACTTTCTGATTTCACCTAAAGTTTGTAAGTTATTCAAGAATAAGCAATTGCGCAATTACAAGGTATTCTAAGACTGTGCTTCATGATTTCTTTCGATACCGAATAATCTCATGTGAAATTTTATAAATGCGAATTATTATCATTGAAAAGTGGAACTAGTAAGTTACTAGTTATCATCTTTAGCTACCTATCAGCTAAATTAAAATAAGATCTTGTTCGTATTCGTGGTATTTTAAGTTATCTTACGGGAATCAACTATATATTTTGTTATATGAACCACAAGTGAGCGTCAGTGATAAAACTCTGTGATGTTTGCTTTGATAAGTCAGCTCTAATCTAATGGTTGATTTCTGCATTACTTGCAGGAATAAAATTTATTCGGAATGAAATACGAAAGTGCTAAAAATTTTTGATATCAATTCCTCCAAAAAGAGCCAACATTCTAAAAAATCAGCGCACATTCTGAGAACCGAGATGAATGCAAGGCAGAACCTTGAGGTTGAAAAAGATTCGCTGAATATTTATTTACGTCCTTTCACTTCTAAAGTTTATTCTATAAATAGTTTTTTTGCTTAGCGCCAGCTGTATTTTGAATATTAGTCATCCTTTTTAACATTTCCTAAGCACAACCAAGAAAACCACATAAAACACAATTATTTCTTACTGACTAATTCTTGATAAAAGTTATTGCAGTCTGCTATTTTGTCTCAAGGAATATTTAGTAAGTGAGAACACGAAAATAATCAAATTCCAGCTCAGAGCTACTGAAATTAAGAAAAATCTGATTATTATAGCGCGCAAATTGTGTAAAAATATGAAAATAAATACAAAAAAGAATATTAAGGAGCCAAAAAGTGAAAGACGAACTTTGAATTTTTTTTTTGCAGTTGCTCAATTTGTTCACTGTAATCAAGGCAAGCATCTTGATGTTTTTTTCGCAAAATATTCATCGCATCTTCACTTTCCAGCTGTGATTCTTCGAGCAATTTGCGCAGCTTTTGCAATTCTGCCTCACGTTTACGATTCGATTCAATCTGTAATATATATTTGTATATAAAAAACTTAGCTGATTCATATGAATCGCTGCAATAAGAATATTAATATCACTGAAACCTTACATAACTATATTATTACGAAGTATTTTATTATTTTATGGCAAATTCCAATAATCTATTTTCTTGCTGCTCATAAAGAAATAAGAATCTATATCAATTATTTCAAATTATTATATAAATCAATAATGACTGTTTAATAACAATATTACAGCTACTAATGATATTATACAACTGGATTAATTAGCAAACGACTTGAATGAAGAGCATTTGGCTTACAGATTACTATCAAATAAACAATTTACTTTGCAGCCTCGATAACTGACCTTTAGAAAGTATGTACTTACGTGAAGTTAGAAATATAAAATTGCTTGCCCCCTCAAGCAAGTAGTTTAATTTTAAAGGCGAGTATTTCTCTGAATCTTATCTTCATTAAAAAAATTACTAAGAGCTGATATAAGTACTTAATTATAACTGTTTCATTATTTTGTTTGAAAATCGTTGTTACTCAAATCATTTTGCACAATGTTCACTTTACAAAGTACCACAATGAACAAGAAAAATCATCAAAAAATAAGCATATCATAATCATACTTGACTGTCGGTAGTACCTTCGGCATCTTCAAGTCTATCAGTCAGTGCAATCAGTTGAACGCTAAGATCAGCTCTCTCTCGTTCGATCTAGACATTAATGAGTGGTTGATCTACTTAAACGTGGGTAAATTTTATGAAAACAATATTTCTCAAATATTTAATAATGCAATAAACAATATTATAATTATTTTAGACATTTCAGTCTTGTCATGCTTCATTCATTGTTCGATATAGACATTTATTGCAGTTTGATAAAATTAAACTTTAATAATAATAAATAGTGATACAAAAATATACTCATGTATCTATAATTCAACACTTACTCTGTTTCGAAGTTCCCGTTCAGATTCCAAATCTTCTTGCAATAAACGAATCTTGTCCTAAAAATGCATAATTATATAGGAATCAGCTAAAATCAACTTGCTATGATGATGATGATTTTTATATTTAGATGCGTGATAATCGTCATAAAAATCTTAATAGGTATAGTTTTCACATCTCATCAGAAAATATCAGTAATATATAAATTATCATGATTTGTTATGAACCATCTAGAAAAATTTGATTTTCATGTCTTCATATTTTTATTAATTTCTTTCAAGTGCGATGAATTAGTATTATATATATAAAGTTCAACGAACGATAACACTAATTCGTTTTTGAAGTTAACTGCATAACTTGCCTACCGGAAGAATATTTTTATGAAACTTCAACAGGGAAACTAGTCAGCTGCTTCAGTGGAAAGTCAGTTTCATCTTAAAAAACTGCATTACTATGAAGTAGCTATAAATAAAATGCTCGCTTTTATTTAAAAAGATGAATGAAATATAACTGTTATTTTCAGACTTGTAAAGTGCACCAAAAAACTTTTATTCCAATATTTACTAATCGAATTATAAGCGATGCAAGTAATAAGACCGTTATTTATTTGTATTATAATTGAGGAGTTTGAGATCAATTCTGTAAATTTTTAGGGATGAGTTTCTTACTACGCAAAAATCTTATACTGTAACTCTTAGCTAGCTTCTGAATTTTGATATTGAAAGCACAAAAGTAAGAGAAACAAAGTGCCAACGTAAAAAAACAATATGAATGACAGTAGCAATGGAACCGTGAAATCAAACAGTAATATGCTAAAACCGTGTTCAATAAATTACTTACTTCAAGACGAGTTAAACTCCCCAAATCAGCAATAGACATGCTACCAAATGGTGCAGGAGGACCACCAAAAGCACTCATTGAAGGACTCTTGTAAAGCGCTGCCGAGGGACTTCGATATAGCGATCCAGACATCGTTTCGTCTAAGTTTTCTTTCTCCTCTAGAGATCAAGATAGCTGCTTCCCTTAATTTAATGATCAACTGAAGAGAGCAAGTTGATGAGAAAATGAAGCCCTTTTTTGAATTATTCGGAGAAGTGATTCAGAATACCTTTTCTAGCAACAGTAGAAAGAATAACAATTACAATGAGCAGTGGTGCACTTGTAACCTTTAATGAAGTATGTAGAAAATGTATCACCGGAGTGATTTCAGAAAGAACTTGTACCTCAAGCAACCAAGAAAAGTATTGCTTCGCTGCTGAGTCACAACAAGTTATCAGAGGTAAATATGTGAGCGAAAAATGCGAGAAAAATTGAAAAGAATTAGTGGATATGATATAGAAGCAATAGTTTAAAAGTATATGTCTGAATTTAAGTTTCATACTTTTCAAAATGTGTAATAACAAAATGAAGATGATGACAAAGCTTTGGAAATAGTTTTAGAATTGAGCAGGGAGCGAAAAAAATACCGTTTAAGGGATGAGTGTGTGGATTCTATGAAGCTGGAAAAGGATATAAATAAGACTGTTTTGAAAATGATTACAATTAGAGATATTATTATCTACTAATGACAGCGAAAATGATTATAACAGTGGTAAACGTTATAAGTATCACTGTTCTGGGGAGAAGATTACTGCCAGCAAGCCAATCGAGGATTTAAAATTCCGACAAGGGGAAGTGAAGCATTGACAGAAAAGTGAATAAATGCAAGCAAACAACAGCCGCTTGAAGGTAATGAAAGTAAGCAAAGTGTGATGATGGTGCAGTGTAACATTTTCAAGTTTGTGAAAAGCTTTTGAAGAGGAAGAAGAAAGTGAAAGAAATGTTTTCTTCTTATACTAACTATCATATCTCTTATCAGAGCATACTACTTACTACTAATAATACTAAAGTACTAAAGTGAATTAATGAAAACAGGTCAAGTATCAATTCTTGAGAAGGGTGAAGAAGTACTACTAGAGCTATACTGAACTTGATGAATGGATTTAGCTAGTAAAATTTGTAGAGAGAAATAGACAGTACTGATATTAGTTAAGAAGCTACTGATGGGGGAGCTTTTCCTGATGAAATTTGTAAAATTCCAATCTAACATTCTGCCACATTACTTTCTGCTACGTAGCCAGGCATTCTAGTCTGAAATCATTCTTAAACTTTTCCTCCTCCTTACCTTCCGTCAACTATTAAAAAAAACTTTTCACAAGAATTAAGAATGTTGATTGCAGGGAATACTTAACAAATGGTCTGTTCTAAAGTCAAAGGAGAAAGTGAAATGCAAAATATAAGCTGCTATCATCTCGTTAAAAATATTTACATTCTTCTACGAGCAAATTTCAAAAAATGTAGCTTTTCCGTGAGATCTGCGCTGCTATCTCAATGATTTCGTTTTTCTCCTATTCACAACAGACATACTCTAAACCTCACCTACACTTACAATTTTGAAAATAACCTTTGCAGGCTGTTTTCCGCAACTACTTGAGGTTCTGATGATACCACAAGTAATTTATATATACGTGTGTGCTTTCAACTGTCCTCTATGTGTGTGTGTGGTGAGTGTGTATATCTACATACGTCAGGTCTGTAGTATGCTTCTTCAAATGACTGATGATGATTTATTTGCTAAATTCAGTACAGTGTAAGTAGATTAAAGAAAATATCGTTGAAATCTGGTAAAATCAGAAAGTGAACTTAATGAAAGTATTGCAAAGAAACGCTGAAAATGAGAAATGGTGCAAGAGTGTAAAAGTATCAATTTTAACTTTTGCTTAGCTGATCTAGATGAATTTAATCATTCTCGAGCAACCATCTTCTCTTGATCTCAACTTCTTCACTCTGCACTACTTATCTCAATCTCAAACTCTCAATACTTTTTCGATACGAATGAAAAAAGTTTTGCATCGTTTTTGTGTTTCGCACAACTTGCTTAGCCAGCTGAAGTAGGTAGGATCTGTGCATCATTTCTCTCTCTCCTTACTTTCCACCTTAGCTCAAAGAGCGTATTTGCTTCTGAATGATTCCATCTTACTAACAACTGTAAAGCAGTAAACAGCAGATTGAATGTGAACTCGTTCTGCTTGCTGAAACAGTCTGAACAAGCAGAATACTCACTCATTTCTTCCCTATGAAATTTTCCAACGATTTTTGAGACGATAGTAAAAAATGACAGAAAATTTGAAAAAATAAGACTTCCATCATTCTTTCTGTTTTATACTCAATCTTGTATTATTAGTATATAATTAGTACTTCTAGCATATAAATTAATACTTTTCGCTTTCTTTTACTGTTGAATTTGAAGTATTTAGAAGCCATTTACGCAAGTAAATACTTCCATATTTTCTAAAAGGAAAATGTTATCTGAATTCCTGCAATTTCTCATATATAATAGAAAAATTGCTTCAACAAAGCAGCATTTTTACTCAAATTTCAATCGCAATTACAAACCCAGTTTTTCGCCCACAAATTACAAGAAATTTTTGCAAAATATTTGAATAAAAATTTAAGAGTAGAAGACATGGTATTAAGTATGCAAATGTTATGATTATTCTAAACCTTTCCTTTTATAAAGCTACTGTAAAGCGATTATTTCCAAAAGGTTTTCTAATATTTTTAGTTTTCTTTGCATAGCAGCCTGAGAATACTTATTTATGCCAAAAATATTTTTCCATACAAAGCGAAAATTTAAGGATTCTCAGGTTTAGCGTCGTATGAAATAATCAATTCACATATAATTTAGTTACCAACTGTTAACAAATATAGTACAAAATTGTTTGAGTAAAATCAAAAACAGTACAAATTGTTTGAATTAAGAAATATTTCTACTCTTCTTTTAATCTCTAATCATATTTTTGAATCATCCAATACGTCATGATTTCATTCGAAGAGATATGCATACTTTATATAACTCTAAACTAATATAGTATTGTACAAACTTTTTCAAAATTCAAGCTCAAGCTGATTTTCTTGAAGTGCAAGGCCAGCATGATCCTAGATCCTTTTTCTATTCAAATGTAGCATCAGTGAATGATTGCAGATTGACTTCCTTTTTTCATACATTTATTTTTCAATGAAGAAAAGTAAAAAAGCATTCAAATAAGCTTCCAAAATAACATCTCAGCAAAGCAATGAGCAAGAAATTGTGGTAATTCCAACAAGAATGATAATTTAAAATAGTGTGACGAATTTATGCTAATATTAAAAACTAGTAACAAAGTTTCCTAAATGCGCATGTAATAGACTAAAAAATAAAGTGTGAAAGTTTAATATTATTATCACGTTTGTTCAAATAGTTAAAAGATTGTTGCAAGTGTGAAAACGCGCTGGACAAATTTTTATTAATTGCATGCATTTTTCTTCGAGATTAATCCGCTTCGTAATGCATTATCGTACACTTATTTACTGTTACACAACACATATAAAACAGATATTTTGATCTCTATTTGTTGAATCAGCGTTTGTTTCTTCCATGCATAATCTTTTAAGATTTTTTGAATTACTTTCTTATGTCATGATACTGAGAAATTTAAAAACTCTGAAATTTCATTTCATCCCTTCCACTGTTACGATCTCGTCATCAAATTTCATAGAAACTGTAAAAACAAAAGCAAAGCAGTTTAATGTGCCGAATTATAAAATCTGTCCAACTTTGTTGGAATCACTAGACCCAAATCAGATTGTGTTTATGCCAGTTTTTTAATATATTGCGCTGATACTTCTTTCAAAGTGTCATCATTCACTTGTATAATATCTTGTCAAAGTTTAATTAACATATATTGTAATCTGAACTGATGTAATTTGCTTCTCTCAGCAAACTCGACTAGGCTAGTAAAAATCGCCATTTTTATTTGTTCTATGTTGTTTCACTTTTCTGTCAAGTGACTTTGCACATTTGATATTTGTTGTGTCATAACCTTCCTTTCATGACCTCTTACGCAAAATGCTTTATTGAGTGAAAAATTAACACTCAATTACTTTACTTCTGATTGCTGACATGCAGAGTCTTCTTTTATTTGCCCCTATCATATCTCTTGAAATAATCCTTTTAAGTTCAGATGCAGCGTAACTTAAATGTATTGCATCGGTCTAGAGTTCACCTGTGAGAAACTATCAATGTGCAGCACAAATGCAAAGTTAGTAAATATGGGTAGACTTCTTCTAAGCATCTGATCAATTATAATAAATGGAATTCAAACAGCAGCACTGTTTTAGGGAAAACTCGTAAAATACAATAAAGATAACAATAGAAATTCAAGCGCAGAATTATTTGAAGGGTATTCCGAATTAGATCAGTTTTAATGCGGGATTTTCATTGAGCGCAGCATTGCTTCATTAAGCAGCAAATGTATGAAAATGATAAGGAAAAACAAAAAGTAAAAACAAAGTAAAAAAGTAGAAAAGTAAACGCATTATTAATGAAATAACAATGACCAGTAATTACGATTACGATGAAATCATAGCTATGATTGGTGACAAATGAAATAAATAAAGACTACATTATTAAGTACAATAAATATCAATATAGCAAATTACAATTTGTAAGAAATTAAAATTACAAAATTCTTGGAGTGAGGCATGTTGATAATTATTGAAGTTATAGCACAATTGAGACAAAAATGTAATATTATTAGGCAGCAAAAAAATTTATGAGAAAAAGGAAGACAAGAAGGATACGAAGCAGAAAAGTAATAAAAAAACAAGCGAGATGGAAGCAAGAAGAACGATAACAGAGAAGAGTGACCAAAACATAAGATAAGGGGATTGATATAGCCAGCAAAATAACCATACCAATACAGCAGTAAACATAATGTGAATAAATATCAATCACTATTACTGTCATGTCATCATCGACAAGCATTACATTAACTGCAATAATTAACATGGAGCATTTAATAGTGATAAGGTGAAAATTGCCAATAATTATAATGTAAATGAAAGAAAGCTGTAGTAATAACCGAGAAAGCGAAGAAGATTGATAAAATATTGATGTGGGATGGAATATAATTAAGGCATGTATGTACTTAGTTCTGATGATAGCATATGCAAATGTATAAACGGATTGGTGGATTAATGCAGTAATGTATGTATGAAGAAGAGAGCAATGTTAACGATAATGATGACGCAAATGAAAAAGTAGGCCTCAACGAAAAAGGAAAGGAAGAACTGCCAGGCTTTTAAAGTACTAATAAAAAGCCTAACAAGCTGTTACTGCTAACAATTCCACCAAATTCTCTCTCCCGTTTCGGTGCTCCCTTTTTTTCTTTTCAGAACAAAGCAGAGCAATAAGTTTACTTTTTTCTTCCAAAGGTCAGAGGTCAGTTCCAGAATGCTGGGAATGAATTCTGATGAAAAAAAACGACAGCCCGCGACTGCCACACTTTTGCAGCCAAACTGCCACTGCTTACCACTTCGGCGAAACAGCACAAGTGCTCTTCCTGCTAATACTCCTCCGGTTGTAGCGACGTCTAAAAACGATGCTAGACGACATCGTTTTTTACCTCAGACCCCAGAATGTACAAGCCAAGAATGCTCGTGTTCATCACCAAGGTTTTTACCTACCATACCACCAGAGACATCGCTATCTTCACACCCGGCAGTTTCGACTCAATCATATAATTTTTTAAGCCATATTCATCAAGATGATCATCAACGAAAAGGAAGACGTCTACCACAAATACCCGTGATTATAACTGCATCAAAAAATGACAGCAGTGATAGTGATAATGTTGTTGATGGTTTTCTAAAAGTTAGTCACGATAGCAATATCACTACAAGACGGCGGCGTTCCACCGGTGATCAAATCAATGTTACGACTGGTAGCAACAGTAACTCTCCCAACATCAACACAATTGAATCCGAATGGCCAATGGCAACGAATATGCAGCGAAAATATTCACAGTTTCAGAATACGTCAACTAATGATGATACTCATTTATCATCTGCTTCATTTAATATTTTTGGTGAAACGACAGCACAGTTATCGCAGTTATCATCTCAGCATCAACATCTACAGAAGCAATCTGATTCAGGAAAATTACGAAGATCACGAGATTCTTTAGATCAGTCAAGTGGTACTTCATCTAGTACTAGCTTCTTTTCACAAAGTTCTTCGGTGTCACCATCCATTGAGCAGGTTTTATTGAACATTTAACTTCATAATTTAAATGATTAAACTCTAAACTATGAATCTTAAACATATTCATTTAACTTTCGCAGTTCCAAATGAAAACAAAAGCTTCAAATATATGCTTCAAGCATAATATTTGGGCTTCTAGGGGCTTTTTTACTTTTGATAACAATAAGTTTTCATTGTGCTGAATATAAAAGAGTTTTGAATTACATGAAATTATTTAAAGTTCATTTTGATACAAATATCAGTCTGTGATGAATTGCTTCAGCAGTGTATCTTACTTTGCAAATGTGTTTTTTACTATGGATACTTTGTTAAAATATATTAATATTGCAACATTAAAATATATTAATATTGCAACACATCATGTCTAGGAGTTTGAAGGTTAATCTATTTTTCTATGTTCTTGATTCTCGCGTTGAGTAGTATTCAATACTCTCGCTGTACTCAACCTGCGTTCAATTCTGCTGGTTCCGAAACACTGCTCGAATGCCATTCCATATCCCTCACAGAACTTATTTTTACAGCTCATCTGTTTTACCTTTTTAAAGCCTCTATTGGTTGTTTAATTATTTGTGTATATTTTTGGTAAAAAGCTTCAACTTCTATTTAAAACTCAGTAGCGATTAATCGAAGACTTAGTTTTTGTAATTTGTTTTCATTTTAATCAATTCCATCACAAATTTCATTTCTCTAAGTAATGAATTTAAGTTTCTGTTTTGTGAAAATAATTATTTTGCAAATTATTTCAATATAAAAATCGGCACTTATTTTTTGCTTGATGGATTAAAATAATCGCACTCAAATATTCATTTGAAATCCATATGAACTGAATTCTGATGTTATTATTTTTTCACCCTGCCACTGCATTACAAATGCAATTCTTTAAGAACAAAATGAAATTTTTTATTGAGAACAATGGAATTTGCCTGGCTTTTCGAGAATTAGCCTGTGATAGGAAAACCAACGACATTTTCTATCACTTAACGACAATATTAAGGGGTATAAAATGTAGTCGTTTGCAATATATTATGGAATTTGTGAAACTTCATATCTTATACCTTTTATTTACTTGATTCATAGTTATTAAGTAACGAAAGGAAGAAGAAAGGATTCTTGAAAAATTTTTTGAATATTCAAATTGGCAAGAAAAGATGAAAAATCACGATTGCAGTGCATGGTGAATTGCAGTTTTTGTCAGTGGTGAAGACTACTGCATTTCAAATGATTACTTTGGATACTATCGCAAAAATGACACAAAAAACTTCCTTTACGACTCGTTTGCCCATTTATCCCTAAGATTGGAACATTTTATGTTATGGATTTAGCTGTATGTTAAC